AGATAACTTTAAATATATACGTGTGTGTGTGTGTGTGTGCGTGCGTGCGTGCGTGCGTGCGTGCGTGCGTGCGTGCGTGCGCTCACCACATCGGGGTGTGAGCTGTTGGGCAGTCTCAGAGCTCGTCCGTAGTGCTCCTGGCCCAGCTCCGTCTCTTTGGGGTAGAGCTGGTTCAGTCTCTTGCGTGCCTCTTTCCCTTTCTGCAGAGCCTGGTTGAATTCTGGAAGCTGTGTGACAAAAATAATTATTACATATTACCACGGAGCAGGACACAACGTTTTAAATGTTAAAAATGCTAAAACTTACATTGCTGAGGCTCTTCTTGTCGCTCTTGGCCTGTGAGGAAAAGACGAATGATGTCACGGTTATAAATGTAGTTTTACTCATATTATCTTTTCTAGCATTTGGGTTGGGTCTATGTTGTAAATGTACTCCCTGGTAATGGTGGCATTTCTTCCTGGGAGACAGAGGGTTTTGTATGCTGTACACACACTGAGACAAATGGCTAATCTGTGATGTTGGGCTATGTAAATAACATTTGATTGGTTGATTGATATTCTTACAAACATATTCAATAGTTATTCGTAATGCCTGTCCAGGGGTCAGACTCCTTGTGAAATCAGTGTTTTGTCCATACTGGTCGCCACAAATAACCACAATAATCTGAGATCCTTGTAATTGCTTTAAGTGAAATGAAATCACATCCATAAATCAGGTCTCTATGTTCAAATCAAATCAACAAACTGACCACCAGTGCTTTGACCGACTCCCCGATCTGAACCTTCTGCTGCTCCAGCCCAGAGATCTCCGTCCTCACCGCCTGCAGCTCCTGCCACACACACACCTGCACAGTACACACATTTAAACACAGTTAATAGAAATAGCAGGAAAACAGTGGCACTCAAGTTACATTTTTCCACATTTCATAACCATGCTTTTTTTTGCTTATTATAGCTGTTATGTTTGTTTGCTTGTCTTTCTTTAGCTGTGATGCCAACTGGATATGATTATTATAGGTGTTACATCTGTTTTCTGGTTACATTTGTATTACAGAATTGCATAGTTAGGTCACAGGAATACTTTAAATGACATGTTCTTATCTGACTTGAACATTGGGAGGGCATTTTAAAGCCCCCTCCACTCAAGAATGTATTTGTTTTGCTTATTTTTACTTCATTTGACTCTCTTTGCAGAAACTATACTCAGAGTTTGACAACAGAAAGCTATTATCCCATTATACCTCTGCAGGTATACATTTTAAAAGGTAAAAGTACTCAGATCTTGTGCTTTAGTAGAAGTAGAAGTAGAATTACCAGAGTGTAGGAATACTCTGTGTAGTACAAGTATTGGCATCAAAATATACTTAAAATACCAAAAGTAAAAGTACTCATCCTGCAGATTGGTCCATTTCAGAATAATATATATGATATGTTTTATAATGATTGATCATTAAAGTGTTCTCAAAGCTGGTAAAGGTGCAGCTAGTTTGAATGACTTTGTATACTGCAGGGTAGCTTGTGAATTTACTCCAGGTGGAACTAAAGTCTGATTCAACACTTGATTAGATTCCACATCATTCATCCAAAATATGTAAAGCAACTAAAGGTACTAAATAAATGTAGTGGAGTAAAAGTACACCATTTACCTCTGAATTGTAGTGGAGTAGAAGTACAAAGTAGCAACAAATGACATACTGTACTGTAGTAAGGACAGTGCTTTTACAGTAAATGTACTTAAGTTACTTTACACCACTGAATTAAAGTCTATGTTTTGGCTTCTCAGCATCCAACCAGCCAACTGTCAACCCCAGACATTATTTTGTTATCTTAATTAACAACTACAGAAACACTTACTATCTTCCTGACATCTTCTCCTCTGAGCTCTCCCTTCCTGTTCTCCACATTTGCTATGACTTTCTCGGTCTGCTCACACACTTCCGTCATGTCCAGCTCCGGCAGGTCGCTGTACCCTTTAACGGAATGATCGTACAAACTGCTCCGGGCTCCGTGAGAGCACCGGATAAACACCCTGATCCTCTGCCGGGAACAGTGCCTTGTTATCGGCTTCAGTGCTGTCAGAGCAGTTGCTCCAACCCTGGAGACCATGCCCATGGAGGTCGCCATGTTTATGTTGCGTTCATTGGTGTGTGGGAATAACCAGAACTGTATTCTTGTGTAAACGAGAACTGTTCTTCTTTGTTTGAAGGTGTATTACCGCCGCCTACAGTATTGGAGTGTGGACCAAAAATAAAATAAAAATATGCAATTAAATAAAATAAAAATGTAAATGATTTGTATTAACTCTAACTATTAACTTTTAAGCTAAATGCAATGTAATGTGCTAAATAACTACGTTCCTATATTCAGGGAATGCCGCATGGATACCGGAAGTTACCATTTCGGAAATAAAACTGTTATTTTGTCCCACATTTTGAAAAGAAAAACGAAGATAAATTGTTTTATTTATTTCCCTTTATTTATTCAAGAACAAATTGACATCAGGGTAAACATATAAAGTGATAATATAACACGTAAAATAAAAAATGTTATTAAATATTTCTTAAATACACAATTGGTTTTGATTGCCTTTGTATTCATACTGTTTTAAATAGTGCTACTATAATTTTTAATTCTTGTTTAAAATGAGGTTTGCAGTTAACCCATTTCTTTTTATATAGGCACATTTCCCTAAAAATATAATTAACTGTACAACAACAACATCTGCGTCCATACTGTCACCTTTGAAGTATGTACAACATGTCTCTATCCTGTAGTTGTACTTTTTATCTCGTTTTTCTTTTAAAAAACGAGCAGAAATTGTTTCTTTTTATTGTAAATAAATCAAATGTATCTCTTCACTGACGTCACGAGTCAAAGGTCGTCCAATCATATGAGCGGAAATTTATACATTGCGGTAATCCCGTGTGCGGCCGACTGAACCTGAAGTCAGTGGTACATTTTACCCCTGTAGCCTCTGAAAAACTGCACTATTTAAACACATATTCTGCTTTGCAACAGAGTAGGACGTGTGGGGATGATATCATGGTGGACTGACATCTTGTGAGGACCAGAGGCGGTGTGCACAATGCGCCTTTGAGAGCTAGTTTTGTTATGGATTTTGTTGCACCGGTGCTGCTGGATGAGCACCGAGCAGACTCTGCTTCACAGGCCGCTTAACTAAACCCTCACAACCGGGTTTAGTTACAGCCAGCCTACCCCCCCAAAACTGCCTCACACATTCCTGCTGAGAGAGACCCAATCCGGCTTCACGGTGGAAACCAGAAGAAGAGCAAAGGTAATGTTGAACTGTGAAAAATCCACATTTGACCTGTTTACTGATGCTACAAAAACAGCCTGCTTTGTGTGTGTTATTCCAGTCTGTACATGCATATTCCTTTTTATGTTCTGCACATGTCTGTTCTAGGCTAGCTTTTTTTGGACTGCTTTACATTCTGATTTACTGCACCTAATTTATTCTACGGAAAAGGATTAGGGCCAAAATTCTGAGACTTTTTTAATTACATTTTTAACTTTATTTTCCTCGAAACTCTGTCTTCAATCTCAGAACAAATTCCCCCCCCCCGAAAAAAAAAATCTGATGTGGCCTGTACGTAGC